AGCACCCCCGGGTGCAAGTAGATAAATAGGACCGTTCTCTAGCGGGAGGTAAAACGCGTTTCCGTGTTGCGGCTCTGGCTCACCAGGGCAGCAATGTCACGCTGGCCACTGACCGGAAGTGTCTCCGGACAGCGCTGGCCCCCGGCCCTCTTGAGTGAGATGGGCGCACAACCCTAGAGTCTGTCAGACTGGCCCCGAGGGGAGGTACTTTACCTTTTAATTTGGCCAAAAGGTGAGCATTAGATTCAAGTAAATACAGTAACTAATGTTTACAAAGTAGTGGCATCCCTGCAGAAGGACAATTGCTCCTTAATTTCTGTGACAGGACGTGTATTCTGAACCTTCCTCTCAACTTAGGTCTACTGGAGCAAAAAATAGTGTTTCTCAGTAAATCCATATTAATGACCCCTTAAATATCAGGTATAGGCATTGAAGCAGCTTTAACTCTCAGCTGTGGGCGATATTTTTAGTTCATAATGAAGATGAACCCCTGAAACAGCCCTTTCCATCCTGGTTGCACTCCAAATCACATCATCCCTGACCATTGGCCATGACAGCTGTTGTGGCTGATGTGAGTTGGAGCCACACAACATCTGGAGGGAAGCATGTTTGAGAGGCTGGCCTAGAAGCTCTGTCCTGTAAGCCTGAGTAGACCTTTCAAAGTTAATAGATATGACTTGGCTTGTCCACACTTCTGCTTATCCCCCTCCTAGGCACAGGTCTGAGTGGTTTGCCTTTGCCCCACTTCTTCTCTCTCCCCCCTCCCGCGGGTAAAGCCTGCCCTTTAGTGCTAAATCAGACCAAACGGCGATCTGCTGAAATCCAGATTGCTGTTTGTTCCGATTCAGCACTAAACTGTGGGTTTTCTCAGGGAAGCAATGGGCAAACAGAAGTGGGATGAGCCCTAACTCAGTAGGTCCATTGTGGGTCCATTTCAGTGGTCCATTGTGATTATAACCTAGTTGGATATTGCAAGAATCAAAAGCCCTACAGTGTAACAGACCTGTGAGCAAAACCTCTTGAAGTCGATTTTCCTTCTAGATATGTGTTTTGTTTTGGGATGACTGCTTCTGAAATATCAGCTTCGAGACTACAGCTGTGTGCATTCAAATTGCCCATGTGTGCCTGGGCTCTTGTGCCCCATAGCTGAAACTCCCACCCTTGGTGATGTGGCGCACTGCCCCAGTATACAAGAGTGGATGACAGGGCAATAAATTGAAGGAAAGACACCACGTCTCTTTGGTCCTGGGCTATTTAGGTCTCACCACACTGAATCTAATAAACGTTTCACATTCTATTACTGCGGTGTGGCTCTTCCATTCTGTCTGGGAGTGAATTATGTTAAAGTAATATGGATGAGCAAAATTAGATTACATAGAAATAAAGTAGAGTAAAAGGGCAACCAGCATATTGGAAAAGAGAGATAGTCACCTCCAGTGCCGTCACAAGAGCGTACAAAGACTTTCAAGGGGGAAGTGTACTGAAGAGAGGGGAGTTCAAAAGGCAGTTTGCTCATGGACTAATGTTAAGGGACTAACTGACCATCCAATGTAATTCTCCTTTCCTATGTAGAGCCCAATTCAGAATAGTTGGTGTGACTCTCAGTTATTTTCTCATAGGCACACATGCACACACACACATTGGGGGGGAGGGGAGAGACCGACCCCTACGCATGGAGCTGCTAACAAGCCCCAGATGCTATCAGACTGTTCCTGTTGCTCCAAACCAGGTTATAAGCTGGTTATACCGTATTTATTTGAGTTTAATGCACTATTGAATCTAATGTACACCTCAATTTTCAGAAACCTTGAAACAAACAAAAAAGTATTTGCTGTCGAATGTAAATTTGCCATCAAATCTAATGTGCACCTAAATTGTTGCACTGTAATTTGGCCAAAAGGGATGCGGGTGGCGCTGTGGGTAAAAGCCTCAGCGCCTAGGGCTTGCCGATTGAAAGGTCGGCGGTTCGAATCCCCGCGGCGGGGTGCGCTCCCCTTGTTCGGTCCCAGCGCCTGCCAACCTAGCAGTTCGAAAGCACCCCCCGGGTGCAAGTAGATAAATAGGGACCGCTTACTAGCGGGAAGGTAAACGGCGTTTCCGTGTGCGGCTCTGGCTCACCAGAGCAGCAATGTCACGCTGGCCACGTGACCCCGGAAGTGTCTCCGGACAGCGCTGGCCCCCGGCCTCTTGAGTGAGATGGGCGCACAACCCTAGAGTCTGTCAAGACTGGCCCGTACGGGCAGGGGTACCTTTACCTTTTAATTTGGCCAAAAAAGGTGAGCATTAGATTCAAGTAAATACAGTAACTAATTTTACAAAGTAGTGGCATCCCTGCAGAAGGACAATTGCTCCTTAATTTCTGTGACAGGACGTATTCTAACCTTCCTCTCAACTATAGGTCTACTGGAGACAAAAATAGTTTCTCAGTAAATCCATATTAATGACCCCTTAAAATACAGGTATAGGCATGAACAGCTAACCTTCACTGTGGAGCAATTTTAGCATAACCAAACATCCTACAGTTTTACATGACAAAAGAGGTACAACTAGTTTGATAAGGCTCTTGTAATCTACAACAGATTTGTATTTTGCTAAGTACAGACGCTGTCACATCTTAGCATTTCTCTCTGATTTGCTTCTTCTTGTTTTTTGCAGTCTCTCTCCAGGTGAACATTGCTCCAAATAAAGTGGAGGTGCCTGTTGGAGAGTCCAAATTCTTCTTGTGTCAAGGTGAGTAATGACTTCCCACTTTGGCTGTTCATAGCTGCTTGGGGTGAAACATTATTGGTTAGTCAGCATATTGCTTGTGGAAAGGCAGAATCCCTTGTCTTAAGATCCCATTACGAGGTCCCTTTGCACTGTTCCAGCAACAAATTTGGAGACCATCTTGAATGTGCTCTCATTCTCCCAGCTTTGCACAAAGATTACTGATCCAAAGATGATGTAAGCATTTACCACAGAATGGTGGAATCACCCTTTCCTCTAACATAAGCCAGCAATTCCATGCATATCCAAGTCCCACTGAAGACAGTGGGGACTGTTTCCTTTAAACAATTGCGACAGATGAAGGAGAATCTTCAGGAAGTTGTCTTGAGACATGATTTTGGCCACAGGGTGTAAAAGCGTACTGAGAGTACGCAGAGACTTCCGTTTTGGTGGGACATGTTCAGAAAGCTTCTGTTGCTTGTCTAGATTCTAGAGTTTCTTTTGTGTGTTTGCTTGGATTTCAATATATTGTAATCTGTGTCTAGACCTTTGCTTATAAATTGAAACTAACTATAAAGAGTCTGGCACCTTCTATATTGCGGGTGACAGAGATCCAAAGGATTTAGAAAACATCTTCAGTGTCCTCTTTTTAATATATTTCAAGCCCTTTCCTGGGGAATTCTAGAACTGCTGTGAGAAAGCTAACTCGCCCCACCACCACTTTAAGCCTTGTGAATGCTTTTTTAATTTTCCCTGGGACCTGAGCTGCAAGTGGTCAGTGTGTGAAAGCAAATGAATGCATAGCAAATCCTTAGAATCACAGTGCCTATCATCTGCAGTGCAAGGGCTCCCATGAACAGCAGGGTGTTAATACATCACAAATTTGAATCTTCACCCACCCATGACTTTATTCCTTGGTGTTCAGTAAAGCTTTATCACCTGTATGGTGGGCCCCAAGAGCAGTGATTCTAAGAGGCCGCCCCACACCTGCCCAGATTCTAGGGGTTGTCTGAATGATTCCTAAGGAAGAGGGAACATCCAATGGTTTTTATCCTTGAACATCTTACCCTTTTTGATTTAGTGACTGGAGATGCCAATCCAAAGACATCTCCTGGTTTGCCCCCAACGGTGAGAAGCTGACGACAAACCAACAGCACATCTCAGTGGTGCGGACGGAGGATTCATCTACTCTCACCATCTACAATGTCAACATAGACGATGCTGGCATTTACAAATGTGTTGTCTCCAGTGAGGAAGGCGATGTGGAGGCCACACTCAACGTGAAGATTTTCCGTAAGATACCTGACCTATTTGCTTTCAAAGGGTGGGAGAGCTAGGTGGGACGGCAATTTTACAATGTCTGTCAGGAACATTGTATGCTTACATTTGTATATCCCAATGTCTTCCAGTTTGGGGAAGAATGTTGATGAGTTTCAGCCCTTCAGACTAGGTGTCATTTCAGCTACCAGGGCTTTCTACCGAGGACACCCCAGTAATGGTGCCCCACCCCAAAACCTTTATTGTCCCATCTCTCATAGTTTAAGAAGCGGGCCTCACTGGGTTCTATGTCAAAGGGACCCCAGATGCTGTTCTTGTCTTAGGTTTCTTTGTGTTCTAAATATTTTTGGCTCATGTTTTATTGTTCTTCTGTTAAACATTATGTATTTTCCTTGTGACTGGTCACTTTGTGGGTAAAGGGAGGATATAAATATTTTCAGCCAAGTGGTGAACTAATTAAAATCCTAGAGTCAGCATGGCTCACTGCAATCTGGTGATCAGAGCCTTTTGAACCCTGCAAAACAAGCAAATGATCCCTGTGTGGTTTTGTTTTCCCTTGTCTCGCTTGAGTTTCCTAGAGCCACCTGCACTGTCAGAGCCTCTTGTAGTCAGAGGTGTACATAGGGGTTGGCGAAACCAGCCCCCTCCAGGGGTGCAGCCCCCTGCAAAAATCTATTGAGCGTATGATGTGTATGTGTGAGGAGACACAGCACTGCTGTCATGGTGAGAGCGAAGGAGAAGCTTCCCGTCCTTCTCACACTGCGACACGAAGGCATGTGAACTTTTTCTTCCTCCCTCCTCGCCTCGCTCTCACTCCAGACACTGAGTACTTGGGTCACATAAAATGTGGCTACTGCTGTACAGTGATTTTTTTCCCCAGTCAGGGGGTGCCAGTACTGCTCCTTGCTGTGGGTGCTGAAACAGCTCCTTGCCAAGGGCACAAGGGACCCTAGGCACACTCTGCTTGCAATGCTAGTGGCTTCAGCACACTCAGAAGAGCCAAGATGGTGACCTGAGCAGCAGCTTCTGCCTTCGCTTTGCTGTTCTTTACATTTTAACTTTTGCTGCTGACCTTATTTTTCTGGATTGCATAGGCTGATAAGTGCAGTGGGATACTGTGCCTCTGTTGGGACTTTACAGGCAGACTGTTGGGTGGATACTCCAGCTTTGGCTTTCCTGCACGAAGCAGGGGTTGGACCGGATGGCCTTACAAGGACCCCTCCAACTCTATGCTTCTGTACTTAGTATGTGTCGCGCTGCCTCTTGGGTGTATGAGGTCAGACGTGGTTAACTCTCCCTGCTTGCTTTCCAGAGAAGCTGACTTTCAGGAATGCTCCCAGTCCACAAGAGTTCAAAGAAGGAGAGGATGCGGTCATTGTGTGTGATGTTGTCTCCTCGCTGCCTCCTGCAGTCATATGGAAGCACACGGGCAGAGATGTTGTTCTTAAAAAAGATGGTAAGATGGTGGTGAGGAAAGAACTTTGAACATCTTTATTGCAGGGCCAGAACCTAGTTGTTGTGAAATATGAAAGGGAGCACCAGGCATCAGGAAGCAGAATGAAGCACTGAGGCTGCCAAACAGACCTTGTGGGGCTTAGTGCAGGTGCATAAGAGGTGGGGAGCTTGAGAGCCCAGGACTAGATTTAGGATACATTTTTATGTCACCTACTAAACCTCCTTGCTGCAGCAACTGGGCTTCCTGTGTTTATCAGCTCTTATTGCTGGTTTGATTGGACCCAACTTCTTCCAGGCCCTGGTGAGCTTGATTATGGAAACTAAGAGAGAGAGAGAAATGCTGTTCAGATTAAGCTTATTGTCCAAGATGAACATATCAGGGATAGCTGTACAAAAGAATCCTAGGTGGTCACCATCAAGCTTTCTGTTCCATTTTTCTCTTGCAGTTCGGTTTGTTGTGCTGCCCAACAACTACCTACAGATCAGAGGAATAAAGAAAACAGATGAGGGGATGTACCGGTGTGAAGGAAGGATCCTGGCTCGTGGAGAGGTTGATTTCAGAGACATTCATGTTATTGTCAATGGTGAGTTAGGAACATAGGAAGCTGCCTGCCTTATACTCGCCAAGCTACTCGCCCAGCCTTCCCAGTATTCTCTACAACAGGAGAGAGGAGCCTCAGGGCCACAGTGGGAGTCTCCAAGCCTCTCTTTCTGACCCTCAGGGCTCTTCTCAGGCCACACTCTAAGGGTCGAGCACTTTCACCTGGCTACAATGTCTCATTGAACTATGATCGTCCCTCTTCCTTCCCAGCTTTGGGTGTGTAGAAATCTCTGACTTATGTGTGGCTGCTGGAATGTAGCCCAAAGGCAAGAGTTATATCAGTTGCTCTGTCCACTTTGCCTCTGGTCCCTTGCACCATTGGTACACAACCTCCAGAAGGTCACCCATGAAGGAATAGGTTCTTGGACTGACCAAGGTTTTGACTCCAGATTGACTTGGCAGTGGCTTTTGGGGGCCGTATTGAAGTGTGTGTGTGTGTGTGTGTGTGTGTGTTGTGGGGTTGAGATAGAATAAGGTGGGGGATTGGATGTGGGACCTTTGCATACAAAGCATTTACCATTGAGCTATAGTCCTTCCCAAAGATATTATCAATATTGGAAGCTGTCTTCCATTGAGTCAGACATTTGATCCAATATTGTTTGTTCTGTAAGGTAATGGCCCTACAGGGTCTCATGTAGAGAAGCTTCTTTCCCATCACCTGCTGCTTGATCCTTTTAACTACAGAGTGAACCTGGGACCTTGTCCATTTTAAACATGTGCTGCTACTTTGCCATCTCCCTTGCTCCTAAACATGTGCTTTAGAAGAGAGGCTTTGTTGGCATGTGGTGGGGGAAGGAAGAAGTGCAATAACTTTCTCCCAAGTTGATACTTCTCACAACCAAGGAATTCAGAGGCATTTCATGACCAAAATTCTCATGCAGAAATGACAAGTGATGGCACATGAAGGTTTTTCTTTGGACTGGGACTGCTAACATGAACAATTCAAACTAAAAACCTTTAACAGCCAACCTTTTCAGGGAATATAAGTTGAAGGGTAAAAGTTTTGTTTCTAGCGTTGCACGTTGCATTAACTGAACTGAACAATATTTGAAGTGCCCCAAAGTCACAGGTTGGCTGCATTTGAGCAGTGAAATGGCTTGTAGGTGCTAAATAAACAGCACCGATATGTCACTTTCTGGACATGTTTTCTGCATTTGTGTTTGCTTTTATTTGTCATATTGCAGAGTTTTGATCAGTTGAGAATTTGGCATTTTGGAGACAATTAGAGTCCTCCTTGCCCATAAACTCTGTTAGAATATTGCAAAAAGACTTCTTTTTAGTAATTATGCAACTAAATCAAACACCAAATAGTGGAGAGGCAAAGAGTGTGGAGGACACCCAAGAACAGGACTCTTCTCTGGAGTCCATTTGGCCTCTTTAACTGCTCTGCCTCTCTATCTGCTGCTCATCAAAAGTGTATCTCTTGCTCTTTGTTTCTCTTTCTTTCAGTGCCTCCTACTGTTCGCTCCAAGCAGAGCACTGTGAATGCCACGGCAAATCTCAGCCAGTCAGTCAAACTCGTGTGTGATGCTGACGGCTTTCCAGAGCCAACCATCAGTTGGACCAAGTAAGATGTGCAGAATCTCAGGTCATGTTCATTAGCACTGTGCAAGCAGGTTTTAGTTGAGAGGGCACCGTTGATATGGAACACCGGGGTGCCCCAAAAGGCTTAGTGTTGTTGTCTTGCTTTGACCCAAATTAACTCCCTCCAAGAGCATGGGTTGAGTAATAACATGATGCTTTCCTTTAACCTCCTTCAGTTCCATTCATTTTACTTTTGAAAGCCAGCCCCAACTGATAAACCCCGCAGTTGAAATAACTACATCTGTCCGTGTGCTTTGCATCCTTCAGGGATGGGGAATCAATAGAAAGAGGTGAGGATGATGAAAAGTACGGCTTCAGTTATGACGGCTCAGAGCTGACTATTCGCAAGGTGGAGAAGAACGACGAGGCAGAGTATCTCTGCATCGCTGAGAATAAAGCTGGCGAGCATGATGCCACCATACACCTCAAAGTCTTCGGTAAGTTGGGCTTTTATTGCTTCTAGTTCATTCTTTCTCCTCTCTGACCCAAAAATAAACAGACAAAAGTCGGTCTTAGGTATCTGTTGGAAGATCTAGTTAAATTTCTTAAACACCTGTTTCTAAAAAAGGCTCAAGGGATCTTAAAGATTTAAAACATACGAAAACTAAAACAAGATAGTGATATAAAAATATAAGAAGAAGAGGAGTTTGGATTTGATATCCAGCTTTATCACTACCCGAAGGAGTCTCCTTTCCCTTCCTCCCCCACAACAAACACTCTGTGAGGTGGGTGGGGCTGAGAGACTTCAAAGAAGTGTGTCTAGCCCAAGGTCACCCAGCAGCTGCATGTGGAGGAGCGGAGACACAAACCTGGTTCCCCAGATTACAAATCTATCGCTCCTAACCACTACACCGCCTGATTTAAATAACCCGTTCCACTAGTGGAAGTCAGTGCACGACTCCGGCTACCACAATGGAACTTCACCTCCTCTTCCCCCTGCATGCACCCTGTGCCTCCTCCAAATCCACTCTGGAGATCATGAGAACTTCCACAGCAGTGAGCATGGAGAGGAAAGGGAAGATCATTCCATCAGACAGGCAGAAATGGAAATGGAACCATCTCCTTAGTGCTATGTCGAATTCCACCCATAATGTCATTACCACACCACCCCAGTAGACAGAGCCTCAGGAATAATGAACTTAAAAAGTTGTAAAAGTAACCATCCCATCAAATGCTCGGAAGTTAATTATTTATTGTGTTTCATTTCGTTTCATCTGAATTGCTTCCCATGAGGCATCTTGAAGTTATTTTTAAATAAGAAGTTTAAATAGTTCCTTGTGTGTGTGTGTGTGTGTGTGTGTGTGCAGATAGATAGATGATAGATTGTTGTTGTTTGTTGTTTAGTCGCTTAGTCGTGTCCGACTCTTCATGACCCTATGGACCAGAGCACGCCAGGCACTCCTGTCTTCCACTGCCTCCCACAGTTTGGTCAAACTCATGCTGGTAGCTTCGAGAACACTGTCCAACCATCTCGTCCTCTGTCATCCCCTTCTCCTTCTGTCCTCAGTCTTTCGCAACATCAGGGACTTTTCCAGGGAGTCTTCTCTTCTCATGAGGTGGCCAAAGTATTGGAGCCTCAGCTTCAGGATCTGTCCTTCCAGTGAGCACTCAGGACTGATTTCCTTAAGAATGGATAGGTTTGATCTTCTTGCAGTCCATGGGACTCTCAAGAGTCTCCTCCAGCACCATAATTCAAAAGCATCAATTCTTTGGCGATCAGCCTTCTTTATGGTTTAGCTTTCACTTCCATACATCACTACTGGGAAAACCATAGCTTTAACTAGATAGATATAGATATAGATACACACACACACACACACACACACAGAGAGAGAGAGAGAGAGAGAGAGAGAGAGAGAGAGAGTCTAAAACAACAGCAGCACATGAATAAATATGTCTATACCTGGTACATAGAGTTTGCTAGTCCCCAGCTTAGCTTCCCAGATTTCATGTAATATTTGACAAGTTTCTAATTCTTGAGAGAGCAATCCAAAAGGGTCAGGAGAGAGAATCAAACCACCCTTGTCTTCTGGACTCAACAGCAGAGTAGAAGGTAGGTGTGTGGGATCAGGGCCGTGGCTAGGGGGGTGGTGAGGTGGGCCCCTGCCAGGGGTGCGGGCGATGGGGAGGGCCCCAAAAGTGGTTTAAAACTATGTCCATAACTATAAATATTGATTATTGCCTCATAAGAAATGGTTTTAAATAGAGGGTGAATTGAATGGGGTTGGGGGGTTGGAGGAGAGGCAGAAAGAAGAGCTAATTTGTCTGTGGCTAGAGGGCGCAATCTAGGCGGTTCTGTTAGGGGTGCAAGATCACCTATCTATGGTTCTGTGTGAGATACACATTTTCTTCTTATGTTCTGGCTTTGTGTGGTGTCTACCATTGTTATTATTATTATTGCTACTAGTTGCTTTCCTCACAAAAATGACCCAAAGTGACTTACAAAAGTAAACATTAAAACCAATCATAATAACCACAACCACTAAAATACACATTTTTGAGAGAAAGTTTCCCGCCCATTGACTTTGGTTGTGGGTAATAAAGCTCCTGCGCTGACATGGTTTTTCTCATGTTCCAGGAGCTTATCAGGGTGCCCTTCCTATCAGGATCCTGACCCACATGCACACACTTGGGGTGCTTCCTCTGGTGTGTGATGTCGGTGCCTTGATGTCTGAGGGGAACTAGCTGCAGACCTTCCCACAGCCTCCTGAAGGAGGCATCCGATGTTAAATGTCTCACGAGGTTGGACCTTTCCCTCTGTCATTAGATAGTGAGAACCAATCGACTCTATGGCCCCTGAGATGCCCTGGGTAAAAACAGTGCCTAGTGAATATTCAGCTGCTCCTTAAAATCTCTTTCTGCAGTGTGCAGGAGCAAAAATATGCAAAATGAACAAGATTATTATGCAAATTAACTTTCATTATGGGATTATAGTGTACTTTAATATGATCCATCAAAAGCTAATGTTACATTGTATTTTTTTCTGACTGTGTTTGATTTGTATTGTTTTGTTAAGTACCCTGGAATAAATGTTTATGAATGACTGTACACAAATGCCTTAAAAATAAAGAAACAAAGAAGTTAATTACATTTCAATTGTATGGATTTTAGTGAGAGAATTTGAGCACAATCCTATGTATGCCTCCTTAGAAGGATACTTATATTGATCTTATTTCTAGGTTGTTAATGGAGTGCAGCCAATATTTGCTTGGATTGTAGCCTTAATATTACTATCTAGCATTATTGTTCTTAAAAATAATAAATTGATTATTAAGATTCATGTATACAGTTGCAAAGCCCTGATAGGTTTTGGTTCCCTTATGCCTGCAACTAGTAATGGTCAGACTCTTGGCAATTCCCAATGAAATAAATGGGAATGGAATTTATTTTGATGAGCCTTGCTCAGTTGTGACTCCTCGGAGGATGGTGCCCTGTGTTTTCAGACAACATAAACCAACAACCAAATAAACCTTCTTTTGTGTGCTTTTGTACCCTTTCTTTAGCAAAACCCAAAATCACCTATGTGGAGAACAAAACTGCTATGGAACTGGAAGACCAGATCACTCTGACCTGTGAAGCTTCTGGAGACCCCATTCCCTCCATCACGTGGAGGACCTCTACACGGAACATCAGTAATGAAGAGAAGGTATTGCTTCACCTTAGGTCCAGTCCTCCTGCAGCAGGGCAATAAAATCAGGGGAAGTAGAAGGCCCAGGAGCTTCCTCTACTCCCTCTCAACTGGCAATATAATGTTGCACACTGGAACCGCTGTTCCTCTAAGCTTGGTTCACATGCAGATAGTAATATTTAATATTTACATTATTTCAGTATCCCATGCAACAACTCTCTAGGGTTCACCAAGATTAGATTTCCCACACTAGGGATGGGAGTTGGGACATGGTTTGGATTTCATTTTAATAAGGACTTACCTAACTTTCCATTTTTGAGGCAATATGTGAACCATATTTTTTGAAATTCATATATTTTGCAATGCAGTTCCTCTGCCCCAAAAACGTGTATATTAGGAGAAAATGTGCCTTAAAATGCATTATACTAAAGACGATCGCTTGCAAAAATGTGTACATTAGGTAAAATTGGATCCTGAAAGGTATATACATAGTAGGAAAAATTGGCAATAAAATTCAGAGTCATGAGACTTTTTTCAAACAGAATTGCACCCTGATGCTGAAATGTCATGAACTGAACTTAAAACTGGAGAAATGGGAAACTAATGAAATTCAAAATTGACAGATTCCCCCTTCCCTTTCCCACACTGCTAATGGAGGATTCAAGACAAAGGAAAGCGTAACATAGCTATAGCTACCAAGAGAGTCGACAGATGAGGTGGAATTTGAATTGGGGACTCCCTGGCTTACACCTTTGGCTGCTATTCTACCAAGGCATGTTCCCAAAATGTCGTTCAAATCCCTTGGAGGATAAACGGCTGCTGACAACTAACCTGATTCCACTGTAGTAAGCCAATGGATCTCACTGTAGCCCTTACCTCTGGGTCCCCCATGTCTAATTAGCATAGATCAGAACATCTGTCATTGACATGGAGACTCTTGGTGTGATTTCAAGAATCCAAATAGTATACATTGCAAAAAAACAAATGATGGATAGTTGGGGCCTGGGTTCAGCAGTCTCCTGTGATGTGTGCAATACATATATTGGCCTGTTGAGAGGTAGCAGAATAGGGTGTAACTAGCCTCATACAATTTCATTGCCTTATGTTAAGGTAGGATTCATATTTATGTCAGCTTAGCAAAAAACAAAACAAAACCATGCCTTAGTAATTTGCAACCCTGCAATGGCTTCACATAAGAATGGAATTTGCCTGAGCTAAGCCATCGAGAGAGCCAGGAGCCAAAGGGTATGTGCTAGGGACCAAGTCTAGAGCCAGGAAAGGCTTTTATTTCTGAGGCCAAGTCCTAGCACTAATAGGGAGGTTTTATGGCCCTTTCTGTCAACTACAACCAAAAACCAGCCTGGGTGGGTGGAGTCATTCTAGTATCTGGTGACCTTCCACTGTCAATGGTACACCATGTGGAGGAGCTACGTGTCATTGATTCTCGCCCCAGGTAACAGAACCAATTCTCCATCTACTTCTCCTTGCATGGTTGCCCAGAGGCGATTTCTTAACCACACACGAAGAAATGATTATTTATTTGCAGACCTAAATAATCAATTCCATTGCTTCCCAGGAGCTTGCTGGATCTGTAGCCTCTTGGGAGGTGCATGTTTTTGTTCCTTTCTGACTGCCAAACATGCAAGGAAAGTTGCACCCATCCTTTCGCTCTTAGATGATGGGCCGGGTATTGGTGCTGCGATTCCAGTGTGCAACAGCCATTACAGCAACTACCAAAAGCAGAAGTTGCTTGGGAGAAATTGGGGGGGGGGGAGGGAGAGATGCATATGTAGCCTAAAAACATTATGTGGACCCAAATGAGCCTGTTCATTCTTTTTTCTCTTGATATCCTGCACTTTTACTCTTTCACGCTGCACGTAACTCCAGGCACAAAAGCCCTGGCTGCCTTTGTGCTCGCTTGTTAACTGTCGTCGACCACATATCGAAACCATTTTTTTGTTCTTGATGGCAAAAATAATTAGCAGTTTTGAAATAAAGATGATGTCTTCGGGTTGGATGTGGCCAGAAGCTGCACAGGGCTGGCCGCTCGTCATAATAGTCTCATGTGAACAGCAAGTGAATAAAGAAAGAAAGGGACAGCATTGCTCAGTTCTTATGCAGCTACAAATTCAAGCAGTGCTTATTAGTTAATTGCATTTAAGGTCAAAGAAAAGTGTTGAACCTTTTTCATTAGTTATGACAGTGTAGAAAAGTAGGGAATTCAGATCCAAACACATACTGTACATAGAGAGCAGAATGGTTTGGAGGCATTGGACTGCTTTGTATGTCATGATAAGCTACAGTTTGTCTTGAGCCATGTTTTCATTGTGAACAGGCTTCTCTCCTGCCACGCAAGTTCCTATCTGACTTCTTGGTTTATTTTTGGCTTGCTGTTTAAGGTTTGGTTAAGGCAAACAAATCACAGTCAAGGTTCAAATGACACAAGAAGCCATACTATAGATTGTTTGAGCCACGTGGGAAGGCATGTTTTATTTAGAAAAATGGATAGACCAAATCAAGTACAACAGTATATTTTTAAAGCATATTTTTAAAGCATATTTTAGGAAGTGTGCATATTGAGCTAAAATGCTGATCTAAATATATGTTTTATGGTAAAAATACATATTAAAATATGAATACATCCTTAAATGTGAATTATCATCTGGATTAGTTAAAAAAATGGGAAAGTAGATTAATGTGGAAATGAGACAGAATAAACTTATGAATGAACACATGGAAAACAGGCACAAACCAGAAATAGACCGATCCACTATCTATAGTTCCCTATGTTCAGCTACTAATGGCAGCATTTTCTGTGTTCAAATATAGCATGAGAATTCATTGTAAATCAGCCAAACAATGCGCAAAGATGGGAGAGGTGGCTGAGTTATTTTTCCCTGAGGAATTTCCCCTTCAAGGAGCTCAGAGTAAAACTGCTAAATATTTTTGAAACGTTCACTTCTGCCGTTGAACACTCTATGCTAAGGAACTATAAAGGTTCATCCTCCTTTGGATAGTTTCTAATGGAGACTGGAATGGGCAGGGGGAGGGGAAACGTGAAGAATTTAGACCTGCTGCTGCTGCTGTTGTTGTTGCTACTGCTGCTGCTGTTTTGTCTGGTGTGTGGGCTGGATGCCTTGCTGATGAGTTTCCTTGTTCTTTGTATATTGCCATTACATTCCAGTTAATTTTCAGGCATTTATGCTTTGGTTTTGTCATTAGTTCAAACAAGAGTTCTGTGCTATGGCAGCAGACTAAGCAAGTGTGGGGTGAAGCAAAATGGCAACAAATGGGCCTCCTAAACCATCAGTGCTCAATATTGTTAGCACACCATAATAAAAGGAGGAGTGGAGTTGATTTAGCAGATCCTTCCCCAACTGGGTACCCTCCAGATGCTTGCAATTACAAATTTTATCTTCATTTTTGAGCATTCATAATTCTGGCTGCAGTTGATGAGAGTTGGAGTCCAACAACATCTGAAGGGCACCAGTTGGGGAAGTCTAGTTCAGTTCAGCAGCCAAAATTGTAATCCCCATCTTCCAGCAGTGGTACATTTCTGACTAACAGATGATGGGGACTGAACAGTGAGGATGAATTATCACTTCCTTTGCTGGCTCATGAATTTCCATGAAACATCTCTCGGTTCCTGTTGACCACAGGAAGCTGGGTTAAATGGGTCTTTTGATCTGATTCCACATGGCAGCTTAGTTCTTATCACAGTAACTCTCAAATGTCACAGCTAAATACCAGTGCATGGTATGCATTTGTATTAATCAGCAGATGGCAGGACATAGTTCCAGTTGTCCAAACCAGTGAAGCCTGGGGTTAGTCCAGTTTCTCTTGCATGAGAATTAAACTGGACTAGATCCTTGCGAGGTTTACCAGGTTGTCGAACGGATGATCAGGTATTTGTTATTCAAAACTGTTGATTATGTGAATGAATGGGATTTGTGCAAAAGCTTAGAGGTGCCCATTGACTGTGCAAATGGTATAATCTAGTTGCACTCAAGTCAAGGCGTTATCTAGATACAGGAACAGTGCTGTCTATGGATCAATTGTGCTGCCAGGAATGGTGCCTTGTGTGGTGGTGGGAATCTTCATTTGCAACACCATGTCTGCTATCAGTTATGCAGCTTCTCTTGGTGAAACAGAAGAAATACACACAACCTTAGGGCTGGTTTCTTGCCAATGTTCTTAGGCCCACTATCCCATTGGGCCCATTGTGCAAAGCCTCCAGCTCGGTGCACAGTGGTAATGTTAGAGTTACACCTGTACAGTTCCTTAAACAGTTACACCTGGACAGTTCCTTAAACAGTGGAGGTAGCCAAGTAACTTTCTCCCTGATTCCCACAAAGTAGACTGCCACCCAGTGCAGCCCCCCTGCCATCTACCTTCCCCTCATGCACATAAACTTATTTGCCTCTGTTTTGGAAACTTAGGCCGAAGACCTGGAACTCCTCAAGAAGGTTTGGCCCAGCAGCCTTTAAAAAATAAAATGAGTATTTCAACAAGTTGTATACCAGTTAGTCACAGTCAGCTCTAAGCAGTGTTGCCCCAACTTCTTGCCCTAAGTTGCCAGACCAAACTATATATGTATGATTAATAAAGATAAGATACACCTTTAAGCACCAGGCAAAAATGTTCAACATTAACCAGGCCTTTGACTGATAGACATTCAGTGCCTTTTAAAAATGTGTTGTGGAAGGGTGGGCGGTTATTGGGTTGTCTTTGTTCTTGTTTTTATTACGTGTTTTCTGTTTTTTATATGTTGTGAACCACCCTGAGATCTACAGGTATAGGGCGGAGTACAAATTTAATAAATAAATAAATAAAATAAAATAAAATAAAAACTAAATAGATGGAAAAGACACATTGATCCCATTTTTCATATTAGCTGCCTTCCCAACACACTTGGCAAAGGGTTTATAGGGGTTCTGCTTATTGGAGAATTAGCTAAATTAACTAAATTATATACCTCTGGCCCCTCCCTATCATTGTGATAGATTTTACCTTTGTGAGTTGGTATCATAGTAAAACGAGAACCCATACACTTAGGAGTGGCTAACCTGTGAGCCTCTGGCTGCTCTTAGACTCTTAAGACCCATCAGCCCCAGCTAGCATGGCCAATAGCTAGAGAAATTGGGTTAGAGCCCAATCAGGTTGGTCATCCATGCCATAAAGTCAGGACGGGAATTGGAGTACAGGGGATAATCTTTTTCTTCTCCAGAAAACCTCCAGTCAGTTTCCCCCACCTGACTGCCTCTTAGCTCATGATTTATAATTCAAGTTTGTCAAGGTTAGTTGTAATACTATATACATCATTGTCAAGGCAATCAGTCAATCGTCTCTTTTGTGCCAAATTCCTTAGCTTCAATTAGTAGTGCCTCCACCAAAATAAATGGCTTGTACATACTTTTGAATATGATCTTCAAAAGGATTGATTTTGTTAGAAATGCCTGGAGTTTTGCCCACTTCAATGCAGCTTTAATGATGATAATGACAAATAATAATTAGCATTTATATAGTGTTTTAAATAACTAAAAGTACTTCTTATCTATTATTTTAGTATTCCTTAACATGCCTTGTAAATTGGGGTCAGTACTATTCTCCCCATGTTGCAGATGGGGTAAACTGAGACTGACAGTTGACTTAACTAAATCCTTATAGGGAGTTTATTGAACTTGGGGCTTATGGATTTGTAGTGCATATGTTTGTTGCAAGAAGGAAATGTCCTTACTCCTTCTGTTTTGGTTCTCCCGGTTGTGTTTGGGAAGAACATCCAGTGGGGCTCAGCACAAGGCCAAAGTTCCTTTAGATTAACGTCAGCAGTGTCAATGATTTCAGGTTGCTGCTTAGGAGGAGTCAGGGCAATATTGCTAACGTATGATGGGTAACTAGGCTTGTTTGTAATGTAGTCTTACACATGTACAAGCAGTCGTATTTGCATGCAAGTCTCTTATGTGAGTAGCTGTCACCTGAAGCTGCAGATTGGGTCCCCCCACTGTATTGAATGGGGACGTTTCTACAGAGGGAAGAATCCTCAGGGCAGCTGTGGGATCTCTATGCCAATTGTGGTAGCTGGAGCTGATGTGAGTTGTTGTCCAGAACATCTGGAGGGCACCAGGTTGGTGAAGGCTCTAAGCACTTCCTGAGTCAGAGCAGAGACAGAAATTGTTGAGGCAGGGTTTGTGTGCACGCAGTATGTCGGAAACTGTGGTCATTGTCAGAGCTGGTGGCGCTGACCTTGCTGGGAATGATTTGGGAAACAGGTGCCTCATTGCTCATCCTCACTCCCTGAACATGCCATTTGTGTTTGGTGTCCATTGGCCTTTGTGTCTGTTGCTGCCATCCAAACATCCGCAGTGGTCGCTGCACCCAAAGTCTTGCATCTTCCTGGTCGTGTGATTCTATTACCAGGTGATTATGGACTCCTTTTACTGCAGCAGATTAAACCAGGAAAATGGGCATAGGTGGAAAACGTCCTTGGGTTTCAGGTAGTAGAGAAATTGACCCCGAGGTTTAAATTGGATTCTACTTTTCTTGTTTTCAATAGATTTCAAATTGTGCTTCTTTTTTCTGATATGAGCATTCTTGCCTCTTTAACAGCATGCATCATAATAATATGATATAACATAAAAAGAAAATATGCTTGTATGCATGCATGAGAAAGCATTTAAAATGTGTTGCTTTAATAGCTGTTCTCTGCTTGTGGACACAGAGTAATATGCTTATGTCGTGCCAGGAAAACATTTCTGTCTATATCTTTGCATTGCAAAGCTGCTGCAGTGGGGCAGGGGTGGGGGTGTCGCTGGGATTGCTGCCATTGGGGGCTGCTTGCGGCAAAATGGTGTGACAGAGCCAAATGTGCAGATTAAGTTGCCTTGCTGCTGAGCAGAAGCAGAGTCTGCAAATGATAATTTAGCCCTTGATCAATCAAAGTTGGGGTTGTTGTTGTTGCTTTAATTACTGATTTGGAACAAATACCAGGGAATGGAGGTCCCACCGTAATCCCCCTTGCCCTTCATTGTCCCACCCACCTCACCTCCCTTCTTAAATTTGGTTTTCGCATGTGCACGGAATGCAGTGTGATGCATACAACGTATTAACTGAAGCGGGGGAAGCAACAACATTTGTAAACATTTACTGCTCTTTTTTTGTGTGTGTTGTGTTTTATCTATCTGTTCTCTCCAGGCTTCATGGACCCGGCCCGAGAAACAAGAGGTATAAGATTACCAGACAAATAGCCAATCTTCTCTAGCTTTGTGTATATATGTGTATAAATATGTATTTAAATGTTGTGGATTAACAAATTTCTTGTAGCAGTAAGCAACCCAACTAAATCTAGTATTAATAATGTAACTGCATTGGTGTTGATTATCTATATATCTATTATAATAAGTTCAAGCTATCTGCTGGTAGCTCTAGAAACCTCTTTCTGTCCTACTGCATCTTTGGATGAGCAAGCACAGTGTCTTTGGAATGGGACAAACATCACCAAGGACCTCCACCGTGGGGCTTTGGTGGGATTAAAGTGGACCTGTGATGTTCAATAACAATGAACAATATTCTCCGTTTTGGACCTAGAAGGCTGAAAGCTCTTTTAGGCACAAATTCCCAAAGCAAAATTCTTAAAAGCATTGTTCATCCATGACATCCATGGGCTCAAGGAGTAAGGTGAGGGTGAGTTGGTAATTCCCCTCATCTCAGGATTTGTGCTCACAGCCCACTTAGCCCAGCTCAAATTCACTTGTTTGCTCATTCTCCCTCAGTTAGGCACGTTCTGCTCTACTTTAAAATGTTTGCATCACATTCCATCTCAGAAGCAGTGCAGTTACCTATCTCAAAGTCTATGTGTTCTCCAGAAGATGGTACTATAGACTACATTTAGAGATGGGTAATTGGCTGACCTAGGTGTCAAACTGGAGCTCCTATCTGTATTGTATGGATCACCAACTTCAGCCACAATGCAACAGAGAGGGATTGATCTCGTGCATTCATCCCACATCCATCAAGTTTGGACTTCATGCTCAATTTCGTGATTGGGAAATTGGGAGCAGGAAGGGAAGGGGATAATTTAAATCATAACCCTACTTTAGCAAAAATGATTTTGACCAACAGCTTCCATTAAACTGGGATTGTGTACCGAGCAAATGAAACGTGTATTGCATAAATTGGATGGGGTAGGCTTCTTGAAATGCGTCAGAACCGCGTACTAGTAAACATGACCCGGCTTATAGCAAAATCAGTCTGAGAAGTCTGGTGCAAGAAACTGTGGGTTCTGCTGTGGTTCTCATAATTTCTTTAGCTGCTGCTTAGAGTTCCAAACTCTTAAGAGCCAAAACACAACATCATGCTGGAGATCTTAGCTGAATCATCCTCTCTTCCATTTCTTCATTATGTATGCATCTATGGCAGGAGATGAGAAGGGTTATTCTTACTCTGATGGGAACTCTGTAGGATGAGTTTCTGTCATTTCTTGGTCATTTCTGTGATCTGCTTCTGATCCCAGGCAGAAGGCAGATCGTCCTTTGCTGCTGGACCAATTTCTAGATGAACCACCTTCACTTGCCAGGTGCTGGGTCTGTTGGAAAGAATACTGAATTAGGTGGAATCTCAGCCTGATAAGAATCTCTTTTAAGTAAGAATGCATTAGGATGATCACAGATCGTCAAGGGCTTGAGCTAGGTGTGATGCTGGAAATGCATGAGGGCATATTCAATGTCTTACTGTTTTGCCAGAAGAAGTCTTGGGGGAGTCTGATATGAATTTGAGCTGAACAGAGAGGCTTTAACCATTTCCCCAGTGCATGGTTAGCCATAGACTTATGGTTAGCCATAGGAAGAAGAAATTTTCATGATGGCAAAGCCCCATAGCCCCGCGCAGTGACTTCCTTTTGGAAAATAAGATGCATTCATGCCCAGTTTGGCCATAATCCTTAAACCTTACGAGAAAACTGAGTCTAGACAGTTTTGCTTTTATAAAATGTGAAACATGTTGGTGGATTGCAGGGTTCCTAGTAAACAGAAAAAGATGGTAAGAACTCAAGTCAGCCCACCATCTTTCTACATCCATTTGTATATAATTTAATATCCTCCGTGCTGCATGTGCTGTTTTACTACTGAGAGGTGGTGCTCATAAACTCCAGTTCTCTAAGAATGTATTCATTTGCTTATTCCACAAGGTGAATCCAGCTTGTTTTCCCTCAGAGTATTTTGTGGGGGGAAATTGAGCTGGTAAAACTGCCATCGTGTATTTGTATGGGGGGTGCTATTGCTTGTAACCTTTTATATTCAATTCAATTCTTCTTCAGTTCTAGCCCCAGACTTCCTAGCATAATTCTATCTATGTGTTAGGATACAATATTTATTTGTTTGTCAAAAGAATTGAAGGTACATAAAAATCACTTTTTGGGGAGAGAGATGAAATACCTTGATAATGCATTCCTTTCCCCAACCCAAGACCTGTTTTGTGTTTTGGGGGGTTTGGATCCAATCCAGAATTTGTTTTCAAGGGAAGAGAGGCAGTATGTCAGAAGCAAAGAGGGTGGCAATTGGGGAAGGAGGTGTCTGCAAAATGCAAGAATTTCTTCTTTGCCATTGTTCATATGGAAAACTATTGTCAAATGAAGAATTCCAGTACATGTGCATTGGACAGAAATGTGCAGATTTTCTATATATAAGTGATAAATTGTCATGTGTGAATTAATCCTGTTAAATCTGCCCGTCCTGGACACTAATATGCTTTGTTAACCAAAGTGGTTCTTTGATGTGACACCTTTAGCAATGTTGGCTGATTTTCATGGGATGTAAAGTTGTTCACTGCTGCAAGGGCATAGGAACATATACCCAAATAGGACTTCCTGGATCATCTTCCTTGTGCCTCTGTTGCCATGACAACTGATGATAAAACTGGGCATTCAGTTGAGAGTGTGTGTTCCCTTTGTAGCTGGCTGGAGCCTAATCAGGCCACAAGTGCCACTTTTGATGTGCATATTATGGAATGTTGATTCGGCTGCAGATGAAAGAACAGGGACCAGCTGACAGCCTCTTGATGCATTTTCACCCTGAATGGAGTATATTAATAATCTCACTGCCCCAATTTGGAAGAATCGCTTTTTCATTGATAGGCAGCTTTCTAGTAGACACCACCTTTGTTTTCCTTTTGCAGAAACATCTTGCTATTCCTTTGTTAATCTACAGGAATTTTTCTCTTGGGAGTATTTGGTTAGGTGGGGATGTTTTTGGGGTGTGGGTTGTGTGCTTGTTTTATTTCTTTTTGTGCATTTGCATTAAGGGGAATGGGTGGGGAGGGATGGGGAAAATCCCTCTCTTTACCCAAGCTTCACCAGCCACGATGCAATAGCTGCCTTTCCCACATGTGAAAAAGAAAAGAGCAACTGCATCAAAACAGTTTTGAGGACAAATATTATCAGTTGCCATTATATATGATATTTATATTTAGCCTCCACGTTCTACCTCTGTGAACCGATTGCAAGGTCAAACTACAGTCTTCGCCTGTTTCTTTCATGTCCTTCCCAGGGACCTCTAACAGGCTGATACCAGAAACAAGATTCTAGCCTAGAGAATTGGATCCAGGAAGGAGCCCCTTCAAAATGGCATTCCTCATTGGGAGAGGAATCTGACATGTCACCACTGGAATTTCAAAACCTGTCTGGAGCTGCAGTTAAGCCAGGCTCAGCTGCAGCAACCAGGACAGTGTGAAAGTCTGGAAGACAGATACTATGTTGCTGGCTGCATAGCACAGAGTCCAGTCCAATTGCTCTCCGAAATGACCTCATTCCCCTTCATTGCTAATATTTTTGTCATTGCTAAGACTGAACCAAAGCATCATGACATTTGTAGGGTTGTCTGAAAGCCAAGTTTACAGCTATTTTTCTTCATGGAGCGTGAGTCTGCTGGTTGCAGCTATGATGAGTGCTGCCATTTTCCAGACATTTGCCTGGGCAACACAGGAACATTTCCCTGTCTTCCTGCACTCTACTTCAGCTCAGTGCTGGAAATACAAGACAGTGGTATGCATCCTGCCTGAGAACAGCCATTGAAGAAATTAATTAGAAATTAAATTGGACCAGGATGTCAGCACAGTGGGTCTATTTTGCTTCTACCTTCACATGGCAGGAGTGCAACTTTGCACCCTGAAAATAAAGCAGTGTTGTTAGGCAGGTTTTTGTTGGCTCAGTTCAGCTTCATAGGGCAGACAGCAAGGAAAGCATCATGACCTCCGGAAAGCAGAATGCAGGTGGCAGCCTCTTAGTGTCTCAGCCAGGAGTGAGGAACATGTGGTCCTCAAGATGTTTGTGGGCTACATCTCCCAACAGCCCAAGCAAGAATGATCAGTGGTCAAGGATAATGTGAGTTGGAGTCCATCAACTTTTGGAGGGCCACTGCTCCCCCCAGTCCATGTCTGAACGATGGACATAGGGTAAATGATGTCCAGCAAAGCCCAGCCTGATTTCCAAGCATTCCCTGCTCTCTGAATGCACCGTCATCTGCTCATATCTTCCATATCTTCTGAACTCTTCTTTCCTTTTCCTGCCAGACCCTGGATGGGCGCATTGTGGTGCGCAGCCATGCGCGGGTATCTTCTCTGACGCTGAAAGACATTCAGTACACGGATGCTGGGGAGTACATCTGCATAGCCAGCAACACCATAGGGCAAGATTCCCAAGCCATGCATCTGGAAGTCCAGTGTAAGTGGGCACATTTCACCATCACTCCTGCTCCCATTGTACAGGTTCTGCCTTTTCCCACTGCCCCCTCTTATCCCCAGGGGTCCAAACCCACAGAATGTTTATGTGTGGAGGGAAGGAGGGAAGAATTTTAGGGAGGTAGTGGTGGGCATGGCTTTCTGGGTGTAGCAAGCAGGGGTCATAATGATGGAAGAGGGGCACAGTGGTGGAGTGAGAAGTTACTGTAGCTGGGTGAGAACGTCACATTCAGATGCAGTATAGCTCTGAATAACACGACTGGTCACAAGCAGTAAAGGGGGGCTGTTGCCTTCATTAACTCCTCTGAGTTTTAAGAAGCTTCTAGCTGGCTACCATTGGACACAGAATTCTAGGCCAGAAGGGCCTCTGCTCTTATGTTCTCAGTCTTTAACAGCAAAGGACTTCTGGCTTCTTAGATCCCTTTAGAGTTTCTAAACCCATATGATTACCCTTAACAGCCAGCCTCAGAAAGCAACACTTGCTGGACAAAGACTCAGTTGTCTGCAGCCACCCATAGTCAGAGCTGCAAAGTATATATTATCTGCCATGCCTGCAGCCCCTTTCCAAGGAGAAGTGGCTGCACCAAATCTGTCCCAAGGCATCACAAGGAGCAGACTATTGAAGCTAGAATTGTAAACTGGTTATCTTTCCAAGGTGTTGAGCAGAAGGTTAGCTATTAGCACTTGGGAATGTATGAGAAGGAAATGTTGCAGCACATCTAGAGAGGGGCTCTTTACTCTCTCTTGCTAATGACTTTTCCAAATACTGCTTTCTCCTTGTTTCAGATGCCCCGAAGCTACAGGGCCCTGTTGCTGTTTACACTTGGGAAGGCAACCAGGTGAACATCACCTGTGAGGTGTTTGCGTACCCAAGCGCTGTCATCTCCTGGTTCCGAGATGGGCAGCTGCTGCCAAGCTCCAACTATAGCAACATTAGGATCTACAACACTCCAACTGCCAGTTACCTAGAGGTGAGACATACAGTTCCCTGCTAAGAAGGAACCTGGGGCACATACATATTCATGGGGATGTAGAACCGCCTTTTCATCACAGAGGGTGGGTGTTTGGTTTGACCACACCTGTTTCTCCTTAAGGGTGAAAGGAGTTGAGCATGCTCACCAGTGGGTGAGCATACAGCCTGTGGCTGCAGCTCCTATCCCATCCAGCATGGCCAGTAGTCAGGTTATTTCTAATGCACTTTTTAATCTACTATATTTTCCAAATTCCATTATACTTGTCCCTGCAAAGTCTACGTCTATAAGCAATCCACTCATAAGTGGCAAGTGTAGTCAGGTCTTCAATCCTCGTCTTCAAGCCATACATTTGTCTTTCCAATGCAGCAATATCAGTCTTTTGGCAACACATAGTAAGGGTACAATGAATTGATTTATGTTGCCCTCTTGTCAAATTCCATACAGTAGGCATGTAGTTCAAAACACTATTATCCTCTGAAAAAATTAGCTTTCCTTCCCGCACATATTTATATAATTCACTACTTTCTCCCAAAACTTAGTAAGTTTAGGCCGTTATAAAACCATGTGCTTTAAAGTAGTATTCCCTTTATTACATCTCCAACAAAATGCGGTCTGAGTCCTTTTCTGTGCAAACATAGTGGAGTCCAATAAATTCTAAATATTATTTTCCATTCTATGTCATAATTTAAGGTCCATTGACACCTTTGTTATAGAGGTTATAACACTCTCCCATTGTTTCGGCAATACAGGATCCTCCAATTCTATATTCTCTTCATTTCTTAACATCTGCATATCAAACTGATTTATTGAGAAATATCTATAAAAAGTCATCACATTTTTTTTTTGTTTTAAAAGATTTAACCAATTGTTCTAGTACCAGAAAATTATCAGAAAATAAATCAGAAAATAAATCAGAAAATTAACACAATTGTTGGCTTGCAGTATTTAATGCTTGACAATAAGTAAGCATGATGATATAGCTCTGGATTCTGAATACCAAATCCTCCCTCATTAATTTGTAATTGTAATTTGTAATAGTCGTCTTTTTTTATTAGAAATACAAAACTCCAAATTCTTTATTCTTTTCGAGTAGGGAAGGTGCTCTAACCCTCCTGATCAATTTCCCCTTTGCAGGTGACACCAGACTCGGAAAATGATTTTGGAAACTACAACTGCACAGCAGTCAACCGGATTGGTCAGGAGTCCTCAGAGTTCATCCTTGTACAAGCAGGTGAGTCATCCAAGTGCCACTCAGAGGTACACATGAGGTCTAGAAACTTTCCTCTCCCCCATTTTTTCTGAAAGAAACTGTGCTGCCTTATAAGCTTGCACAGTGGTTTCCTATTGACCACATACAAATTTCTTGGTAGAGCATCCAGAACTCTCAAAGATGCTATCCTGAACAGTTTGAAAGACCTTAGCCTAAGCTATGGCTACTACAGTGATTCCCATGTAGAGTTTCTTCTAGGACTGCACAAAACTCGTGGAGGTTCAGCCCAAACCTTGGGGTAAAAGGTGTCAGAGATGAGTAAGGCGCAAACAGTGTTCAAGGGGTGAAAGTTGCTACTATTTTCTTTTCCCAATAATGCTCAGTTCAAAGAGGCATTTTGAGTAGGGGGGAAGGAATGGGGTCACCACCACACAAAATATACTGTGCATATACTGCAAAGTTTTTTATGTGTGCAAGTTTGCCCTGAGCCTGCCCTATCTGGCCTCATTAGCCTGTTCCGCCTTCCTCCCTGTCTCAGATACACCATCTGCACCTTCCATTGAGAGAGTCGAACCCTACTCAAGCACAGCCCAAGTGGAATTTGATGAACCTGAGGCTACCGGCGGAGTTCCCATCCTCCGGTACAAGGCAGAGTGGCGAGCGCGGGGAGAGGAAGACTGGCACTCCAGGATGTACGATGCTAAGGAAGGTAGGGTGTTGAGTACTGCCAACCAGCAGAGACTATGATGTCTTTGTGATATATGGTTTATTTACACATGTGTATAACCTGAGTTTAGATGGAGAGCATTCACATTCCAAGAGGGTCTCTTGCTTTCTCCCATGGATGCAGCAGGCATGGGTTTAAGAACAGAAAACAACAACCACATTCTCTTTCTCTTTGTTAAAGCCTGTTCCAGTCAGCCCACATAGTGTTCTTCACCTCCCTTCTTCCTTATCACCGCTAACCTGGTGAAACTAGTCCCTCCCGGCCTACAACATCCAAACTAAAATCCTAAACCCATTTTTTGTCTCTGCCCACTGACACACAGCTGGAGGAGTGGCACAGTCTTTGCCTTCCTGTTGGCTTTCTTGATTGGGTCATCACTGGTCTTTGTCCTCTAACAACCCACATTCAGCTACCAGTCACCAGGCTGGCCTGACTTGTTAACACAATCGAGGGGTTCAGTGTTTGTCACAGCCTAACTCGCAAACATGGATTAAGTCCAACTTTTATTGGACCCAGGAATTTAGGGTGTCTTGCACCCCACAAATTCATACCAATACATTTGCTTGATCCATATTTTAATCGACTTGTGCACAGATTGATTTCCCCATGCCCAAGAACTTTTAATGCTGTTCTGCAGCTGTGCCATAGGTTTCTTTCAAAAATCTTATCTTAACTGATGCTTGGAAATTCTGAAGGGAGATTTGGCCCTCTTGAAAAACTGATTTTGCAAGGGCTCGTGAATAAGTTTCTTTGAAATTTCCACAAATTTGCAGGCAGAGGCAGCCTTCTTTCACCTCCTCCCTTTCTTTCCAACCCTCCTCCCTCATTCTGGTCAGTTTTTCATTAGGAGTTTTTCCACTGTTGAACTGCATGCTTCTGGTTATTGCCTGACTGCGACCCAGGATTCCCCCCTCATTTTCCAAATGACCCTGTTATGCAAAAAACAAAAAACCACTCATATTTCTGTTCTGATCGTATAAAAGGTGTCTGCATAGAAGGGAGGGGGACAAAGAAGGACCAATGAGTCCGGAAGCACAGAGTGCCCTTAGCAACCCCTCTTAACAACAGGGAAGGAGGAAGGAGCATTGAGTCCCAAAAGCCTTGTGTGTCCTGCTGCTCTGAGTTCTGATAAGCACAGTGGGCAGAGCAAGGCGGATAAACTCAGAAAAATCTGACTAAGTGCAACCCAAAAGTGGACAAATAAACGGGTTTTGGGAAAGAGTTTCAGGGCAAAAATAGGAAGAGCATAGGGGACCCACTGAACATGAAAATCAGGATTTTGCCATCAAGTGTGGATTGGCCCTTTATCTATTGACTAACCATGAAGAAACTGTTAGTTTTGGACTCTGTGGGAGCATGACATGGAGAAAGAGCAGGGCCACAAGAGGATCTATCTTTGATAGAGTAGAATTTCATCTCTGTGTGTTTTTGTATAGAGGAAGCTTAACATCAGGTAACAACCCTTGAGTTTTCCAACTTCTGAATTGTGACTTTATTAGGAAGTCCTATTTAGGGGTGAAAAATTAGCAACCCTTCCATGGGGGATCAGAGAGATCTTTGTTAGTCTAAAGCTTGCATATTAATTTTATCATCAAAAAAGCAACGGATGCCCTGCTTTGTTGAGGTGAGGATGGCAGGTCCCCTCTCCGTCCGCCATTCCTCCCATGCTCTTCTCTCTCCAGGTCCTGCACACCCAAGGTTGTTGATTGTGAAATGAACCGTTTTCTGTTATAGATTAAAACGTTCCTCCGCTTGTTTCCTCTCTTTTCTGGAATAGCCAACATGGAGGGTGTGTTCACTGTGATGGGCTTGAAGCCAGAGACAAGGTATGCCATCCGACTGACTGCCATCAATGGCAAAGGCGCAGGCGAAATCAGTTCTCCCTCCGAGTTCAAGACACAGCCAGTTCGTAAGTAACTCCCTGCTTTTCTATTCTTCCTTGCTTTTTGCAAATGTCCTTCATTTTCTCTCCCTGCCTCTTTGCAGCCTCCCTTCCATGCATGGATGGCTCCTGTTCCTCTTCAAGGTCTCATTCTGATCTTTCCCAAAACATCTGTCCAGATTTCTCTGATTTCACCAGGTTGTAACATCGACCCACTTCTGTTATTTTCTGTCTTCCAATGGTCTTTTCTGTTTTTGTTCTTCCTCCCACCAAGCTGCACTCCCAGAGACTGGTTATGGAAATAAGGGGTTTGATTGTTTAGGGGGATAGTGTGGCTTTTCTTTTTTTAACTAGCCCTCACTCCTTTATTGTAGCTTGGCACATGTCATAACAATATTGTGGGTAAGGGACAGAGAAATGAACCAGCTTTTTTCTGGCACAGCTGGTAGAAGGGTGGAGAAAGGGTAGAAGGGTGATTTTTTTTTTAATCTGAACTTCCTCTGTTATGAAGCATTGGTTGAGTTTTGAGCCAAACTGACAATCCTTTTACTTTGCCTGGGCCAACAAGTTGTCGTCATCACCCACCCACCCATGCCTCAATCCATTTCAGTGGACAAACAAATGCCCCAACGAGAAGCCAGCGAACAGGGCTAGAAGGATAGCAGTTGCCTGCTTCTGTTGTCCATTGGTAACTGCTACTGAGAGGCACACTGTTTCCAACCCTGGTGTTAGTATCATGGCTAGTAACCATTAAAAGACTTATCAACTTTCTTGGATTTGTCTTAATTCCATTTTGAAGCCAACCAATAGAGCAGGCATCACTGCTGCTTGTAGCAGCATGATCTGTAAATTAACCCTGTGCTCTATGAACAACTATATCTTTTGGCCAGTCTTGACTCTTATTATATACTCTGCCTCACTGAATTGTCAGAGACAGAGAAATATTGTTGGAGCACACCTTAAAACATCCATCTAACTGGCAGAAGAGTTAAGCTCAAGAATCAGGTTGCCACAGAGCTGTGTACATGCTTTTGAGCATGCATGTTCCACTGTGGCTCCTATTTTACAGTTCCACATCATTTGTGCACCATATGCTTTGCGGGATGTGGGCAGGATTCAGAGTGAACAAGCGAGAGCTAACTGCAAGTTAATGCTCTGGATTTTACCGCTCCTCAGAGTGAGGATGGACCTGTATGTCTGTCATACTGAGTTTTCCCATTTTCCAGTTCCTTCCTTCTTTGGAGGGGCAAGTGGAGGAAGCTGAGCTGTTTTCAGACTTGTAATAAAAATTAAACCGAGATTGAATGTAACATGATATGGAACAAAATGGGCTTTATATATATGTGGTTGCCCCAGATCTAAGCCCTTTTCCGCTCCTGGTTTCACTCAAGCCTTTACGTAGCCAGCTTGCTCATGTTTGGATGGGCTTCCTTATATCCCTTTCCCAATTTTCTCCAACCAATGTTCTTCGCGCTTGCCTGGGAATCAGCAACAAACCCACACCTCCTTTCCTATGCCTGTTCAGCTCAGTGCTCCTTCTGCTACATCCAGGGCCTTGCAGCAACGACCAGAGGTTACAGCAACTCTCCCACTCCACTAGTTCCTCCCTCTCTACCTTGGAAGCTAGTTGTGCTCCTTGTCCCCACAAACTATCCAGTGCACAGATAAATGAAAACACGATTCCCCTCTTGTGCTTCTGTAGCTGCCCAGTTTTTACTCTTCTCTGATAATCTTAACCTGCCTACCTGGAAAATGTGACCCTAATGCAAGGAACGCTCGCTAGTTTTAAATTTCCAGTGCCTTGTTCTATCGCCTCCTTTATTTTCATCTCTGTTACATCTTTTCTTTTTTTGGGGTCTGTGTCTGTCTTTTCTTTTCATCTGTGTTCCAACCATGGGGAAACCGCAGGCACTCCACCGCCACGTAAGTGCTTCTGAATTCCTTCTCCTGGAGTGCTCTTACCCTAACATTGGATGTAGAACTAGCCCTTTTTAACTTAGCATTTCTCTCTTCTTTTCTTTTCTAGTTTTTTTTAACCTTCCTTCTTGTGCTTAGAAACAAAGTAGCTGATAAAACTCTTGCATCTCCTAATAACACTGATGCTAGAATAGCTGTTGTATTTTTCCAGTTAACACTGCCATTTGTAGAAGTTGGTCAAGAGGTTGACACCTCCTTCTTTCCCATCTCCAAAGCATGCAGTGTTGTTCGTATCTGCATGTGTGCCTATTTCACTTGCGATGTTGTTGTTTCACACACACACACCTGGGGTAGGCAATGTTGAAGTTTCCAGGCTGTCTCCAATGGTTTGCTTGCTTTGATACCAGGTGACAAACTCACTTGTAGGAGGTCGATATTCCCAAAGAAAAAGCTTTTAGAAAATTCTTAGCATACAGGTGAAACTCGGAAAATTAGAATATCGTGGAAAAGTTCATTTATTTCAGTAATTCAACTTAAAAGGTGAAACTAATATATGAGATAGACTCATGACACGCAAAGCGAGATATGTCAAGCCTTTATTTGTTATAATTGTGATGATTATGGCGTACAGCTGATGAAAACCCCAAATTAACCATCTCAGAAAATTAGAATATTAAATGAAATCAGCAAAACAAGGACTGCAAATAGAGCAATATTGGACCTCTGAGAAGTAGAAGCATGTATCTGTACTCAGTACTTGGTTTGGGCCCCTTTTGCATCAATTACTGCCTCAATGTGGCGCGGCATGGATGCTATCAGTCTGTGGCACTGCTGAAGTGTTATGGAAGACCAGGATGCTTCAATAGCAGCCTTCAGCTCTTCTGCATTGCTCGGTCTCATGTCTCTCATCTTTCTCTTGGCAATCAAGCACAGTAATCCCATGAGCACTGAACCAGGTTTTGGTACTTTTGGCAGTGTGGGCAGGTGCCAAAGTCCTACTGGAAAATGAAGTCAGCATCCCCATAAAGCTCGTCTGCAGAAGGAAGCATGAAGTGCTCCAAAATCTCCTGGTAGACGGCTACGTTGACCCTGAACATAATGAAGCACAAATAAAGGCTTGACATATCTCGCTTTGCATGTCATGAGTCTATCTCATATATTAGTTTCACCTTTTAAGTTGAATTACTGAAATAAATGAACTTTTCCACGATGTTCTAATTTTCCAAGTTTCACCTGTACGCAGTACAGTTAGGGAGTGAGGGATCTTGCACTTTACCAGCCTCTGTTTTATAATTAAAGGGGCTTTAGAGTCCAGAAGAAGGAGAATGAACAGCAGAAGTAGCTCATGGGTAAACAGGGAAGGTTAGCCGAGCCAGACTCTCCTTAATTGTTCCTTTCATGTTAGTTTAGATTTGTGGATAAATGTTGGAAATGAAAATTGGAAAAGAGCAAACAGCCCTGGCTTGGACTCTGATGAGTCTAAAATATCTAGAGGGCACCAAGTTGCACCAAGCTGCCCTAAAATGAAATTGTACTATTGCTGTCACTCCACTGTTAGGTTTAGTCCCAAAAGAATTCACCCTCCCCCCCTTCAAAATCCGAAGAAACATGGACACCCATACATTGGGGTCAGTTCCCTTTCCCAAACGGACCAGCCAGATGCTTACAAATCGGGCAACATCCTGTTCCCATTGTGTGTTCAGTACATTGCCCTTATATATATATGGAAGTTCCATTTAGCTTTCATGGATAATAGCCACATATTGTACCTCCCTGTGGTGGCCAATTTCATGTGGCTGGTTTATGGACATCCAATTCATGTGGGGTTCAAGCTGTATCCCTCCCAAAGGGTGATCAGATAAATAACTGAGGGTTAAAGGGGGGAGTGTTAAAGGCACTTTGCTCTCAGGCTGGTGGTGAGCAATAAAGTTGCTGTCCAGTGCAGCCATGTCTGAAAATAATGGATCGATAGCAACTCCCTTGCAGCTGACTGAGCATTGCGAAGAAGTTACAGCCAATAATTGGAAGTCAGCATTAGCACAAGAGCTGGGACTGGAGGGCAGTATTTCATGAAGGCTCCGGGGCATTTGTGCAAGTTGTGATGTCAAGGGATGCGGTTGTGAGAAAACGAGAGTGTTTTTGTAGCTGGCTCACAGAATCACAAGGCTGCAGTTGCAACAATTTTGGCTTCAATATTAATTATACACACACACACACACACACCCCTACCTGGGCTTAAAAGGGGAAAGGGGGGAGGCTTGCTGTCAAAACAATTCCAGATGGAAACTGTGAAGCAGTCTGCTTCATTACAGAGCGGCTGATTGCGGTTGAGAAAGAGCATAAGGAATGGTGGAGAGATGATGGCATGGATATTTCTTTACTAAATTGTGATTGAGCTGATAACCTTTTGAATTTAATTGCAGGGATGTTGTTTCTTAAATGTTGCTGAGGATTTTATTAAGATAGAGTGAGAAAGAAAATACATTCCGTCACTGCAAGGTCCCCAGATAGCAACACACTACATCAGCGTGAATGATGAACTGTTCTACTCCATGACTGGCGAACCCTTTTGTCTGCTTGGGCCATACCCATAGAAGTTGTGTCTCACAGGCCAGATTTGACAGGAGGAGGGGCTGCTCCACCTGCCAAAATCCCTTGCACTTTGCAAGTCTCCACACACTTTTAAGCCTCTGAGATTGGGGACTTAAAGGGAGAGGGAGGAGTTTGCTAAAGGCTTTGTGAGTTTCCTCCTTCCCTCTTTAAGTCCCCTATCTTGGAGGCTTAAATGGGGAGTGGGGAGAATGCTCACAAAGTCTTTTACACCTCTGTCTGCGCTTCCCTCTTAAGCCTTCAGGATTGGAGACTTAAAGGGGGAGGGGTACACTTGCAAAAGGCTATAAGACAGACCTTTATTCCCATTTGAGCACCCAGAGGCTCAAACAGGGGTGCAGGAGCTATCTTAAATCCCTTGCAAAAGCCTTTTTGAAGTAGCACACATGCAGAAGCTGCTTCAAAGGGTGCTTCTGCACAGGGCTTTAATCTCTGTTTAGCTGATGAATGGCGATTAAATCATTCTGCCTGGGAACTGGATCACACAACCAATTAAACCCTGTCCTACTACACATCAGCTGACGTAATCAGTAACTTCAGTTGATAGGCAGGTGGGTGGGGTTTGTAGGAAAAAGCCTTGCGGGCCAAATTGGATCCCTTGGTGGGCTAATATTGGCCTGTGAACCATGCCCACTCCTTCAAAAATTAAATGGGGGGTGGGACATGGTAGGTTTAGGAGCATCTTGGGTTGCACTCCTTTTGCATATATTAGCACTCCTTACACGCACCCTGTGAAGTAGACTGGCATTGCCATTGCATACTACTGGCAGGCAGTGAGCATTTGCCAATGACAACTTTGCTGAGTCACAGATGAGCCTTGCATCAGGAGCCTTCCAACTCAGTCTCGTAACCACTCTGCTCACCCATTTCTCCCCTGTCGGCAAGTCCAGCTGTAGCAAAAACCCACAGTTCTTGCTCTTCAGCTTGCCTGGTGCTCTTCTGTTTGTCAGAGGACAGAGCAACCCTGGGATGGGACAGACAAAGCTCTGCAATGGGAACATCTACACAATCAGGTAGTTCTGATATTATAGAGGTGACTGATTTCTGTGGAATGAGAGCCTCTTTTTTTACCATTCCACAGCTCTCTTCAGTTCTATAAATGTTCTCATTAAGTGAGGCGTTAAAAAGTACTTTATGGGTTTCTTAACCTGCAGTAATGTTATGCAGTGATGGCCATAAATGAGCAGGTGTTGTGTTTGGAAGAGAGTATTGGGCAATGGCCAAAATGGACACCACAACAACACACACACACACACACACACACACACACACACGTAGAAAAGAATATTGAGGGGGAAACCCTCAGGAACCCACCCACTCCGTACAAAACACAGAGACAACTGAGTATACTTTGTGGGCACAAAATACTGACCCGACTGTTAGAGTGGGGCAGCAGGGAGATGAAATGGAGTTACTGGAAGTCCAAACTGGAGCTTTCCTCTCTACACCACAGTATTTTGTTGCAGACACACCCATGCTAAATTTCTGTAGACTTGCCACAGTCTTTGCAGATTTGTTTTCTGAAGGCTTCATACTACAGCCAAATTTGGGTTGTCCTAAGGAGTTTCTTCCAACAACTGGAATGGAGCTGATGTGACTCCTGCTTTTCCAAAGGGGCAGACGAGGGATTCCCACCTCTGAAGAGTGCAAAACTATTGGAGTATTCAATCAACATTTCCCCAATATTCTGTTTATTTATTACATATTTTTTTCCCTTCTATGGAGTTCAGGACCTTGTTCGCTTCTCCTCCAACTTTCCTTTCTGTTTTATCCTCACAGCTATCCTCTGAGGGAACTCTAGACATACTTCTGAACTATGAAATTAAAGTAATGTCTAGTTTGACCCTGAGATAGGTTCCTCTGATGGAGAGGAACTGCCCCAAGATCACCCAGGGAACTTCCGGGATCTCCTCAGCCCAATGGCTCTCCTTATTTTATAAATCCTTGGCATAAATGTTCTTGAGCCCTTGCCTTTTTGTCATCAGGCTCTCTTTCCCCCCTTCCCCGCCTTTTTATTTTCCTTCATAATTTATCTTCACACCAGGCTTCACCTTTACATGTCCGATCTATCCTTCGTGTTTCCATAGCAACCCAGCATCCTACTGAATCTGAAAACACAGAGCCAGCCCGTGAGTAGCAGAAAGGCTTTCCTCCCCTCTTTCCCTTCTCTCGCCCACACCCCTCAGACACGTTTACAAAACAGTATGGTGTGTGATAGAGTGCACGGCCAGGAGCCATTAATACGCCCCGCCCCACTATGCGATGGGCACACTCCAGCATGAATGGGTGTGAGTAAGAAAAGACCTGGCACCCTCATCCCTGCACAGTTCCCTTCCCCCAGATTGTGTTGCAGAGTGGAGATACGCTGGTGTTTTGCCATCTATGTGTTTAACGTTGTCGGGAATTAACACCTATTTCATCTGACTATTTAGACGGGCTTCCCCTTTAACTCCCTCTTTCTTAACATCCTGTTGATCTTGCTCCCTCATTTTAGAGGTGAAAAACTAGATTAGGCTTAATTAAAACAGAGCAGGGTAAATTTGAGAAGCCTTCAAAAAGAAATAAAATGCCCAACAAGATCTGATGCTTCTCCGAGCCCCTGAAGCCTACAGCTGTGATCTTGTGTGTGATTATCCAAAATTTCTCTCTATTTGATGACATGGAACCCTCAATTAAAAACTGCCCCAGTCTACTGGCAGGTCCCAGTGTAAGAGCATCCAATATTGACATTGGATATAGACTGGCTATTCTCTATTCTTTATTAATATAGGATAACTTCTTAACAGTTGCTTGGAAACAGCAAGTTCTTTTCTTGGATTTTGCCCTTCTCATATCCTATTAAGCCTCAAAACGCATCATGACCAATATATGAAAATGGCCACTGAAGGAGATTCAAATAAAATTCCAGTTTCTTTTTGGAAGTTGCATTCCGTGGTTTGTAAATTAGCATTCCTCAGAGGGAGTTGCGGGAAAACAGGACGTGGCATGGAATGTGGTTCCTCTAAATTATTTAAACATCTACAGCAAATACATCCTTTGGACTCAAAGGGATGAAGTGGTTGCATTTGATAAAATGTACACCTGTTAAAAACCTCTGCCTTGTGACATCTTTGAGGTGAGCATGACTAACTGCATAATAATTCTGAGCTTGATTTCGGTTCCAGTTAACACACAATTTGCCGCTGGGTGTCTTTGCAGACACAGTGGGTTTGCTTGCAGTTTATCCACGTGTCCCAAAATTAGAATGTTTAACATCTGCACAGGTTTTTTTTCCCCATGGCTTGAAGAGGGGGTGGGGCATATTCATCTCACCAGAGTTTTACGTCATGATGCCATATTACTGTGTGGAGTACCTTGTCATCTCCCACAGAACAGATTTAGTAATAGCCTACTCTTTCAGGGAACTGTGCACAGACCCCAGTTGCCCCACTGCCTTCAAAGCAGGTGGGGCTTCATATTGTAAAGAAGCCTTGGCCTTCCATAGAGCTTTTTGCTTTGTATTTTTCCCAGAATAGCTTAAATACTTGAGTCTTGTGAATATAAGTTTGTCCTTCCCAGTGGGAAGTAGGGAAAGTTCCAGTTCTGCAGCTGTAAGGAGGTGGTTAGGAAAGAAGAGGCAAGAGGGAGGCCGCTTGACGTGTCACCAATCTTTTAAATGCATTGATTTGGGGTTTGGATCAGGACAAGTGTGCCTATCCACAAATGAGCACCATCTTAAAGCTTTACTGAACTAAAATCAACATACCTTTTTTAACTATTTCAGTATGTAGTCACAGGGATACAGAACCTGTTGCTCAGACATCATTGAACTCCAGGTTCCAACATTCTTGACCAGTGGCCATTCTCATTTTTCTAGTCTTAAGTACAACTTTCCACATTGGTTGGTTAGTTATAAATCCCAATGAAAATTCATCAGCATTTTAGTGCATATTTCTACCAATATACATATTTTTGCAAGCAATTTCTTCTCATATGCATTTCTGTGCATTATTTTCACAAACATAGGCATTTTTATGTGCACTTTCCCCTTGCATACAAATTTTGGGATTCGTAACTGCATCCCAGAAATCAGAGAAGGTCAAATTTTGCAGGATAGCTACGTTTCTGTTTGCATATGGTTTGGGGTTGTGTGAATTGGGTACAGGTATCCATTAAAATGTACATGAAACTGAATTACTCCCCCATTACTACTATGATATATTTCATTAGGCACACACTGGACAAACATGTATTCACAAGACTTCATTTTCTTACTGCCCTCATTTCAAAAGGGACTTAGGACAATTTTCAACATCAGTAATTTTTTTTAAGGCTCTAAAAAACTTACTTTTTGCCATTCCTGTCCAAACAAAATGGTGTTGGACTAAAGACAAAGACGGTCTTCTTCCAGGAATGATTTATTTATTTGGAGTGGAGTGGAGAGGGGTAATAAGTCCTCAAACTCAAGGCTTGTCCACACTTCTGCTTGACCCGCTAATGTTTACTGCTGAATCGGAACAAACATAAATCAGTTTTTCTGCCCAATGACGTTTGTTCCAATTCAGTGATAAACAGCAGGTTTTCCTGGTGAAAGTGGTGGGACAAACAAAAAACTGCTTGGATTCATGCCTGGAAAGCACAGGGCAAGCAGAACACCTCTCAGACCCAAGCTTTCTAGGGACAAGAGGACGTGCGGATGAGCCCTAAATCTTTGTTCAGTCAGTGATCTTATCTCTTCACGTTTACCACTGTGTGAGCCCAAAGGTATGAAAAGGGGTATTTAGATCCACAATTAAACTTTTTAAAAAAAGTTAATTGGGAATCTATTAGTAACTGCTTGCATGCTCGTTGAACAAATTTCTGGGTGAAAGTCACCACCAACAGTGAAAGAATGGTTAACAAAAACGTGGAAGGGTAACAACAATGTATAGACTTCTGGAATTGATTAGAGTGAAAGAAGTCAGAGAAGAAATAAAAGAACTTTAAGATAAATTGAACCTGCTTATTAAATTTCTTTAGGATAAATTTAGCTTACTTATGGAGTAATGCAATTTGGGCTCGAAGGCAAGAATGCAGATCCCTAAAAGAAAAAAGGGGGGAAAGAAAAGGAAATGTATTCATTTATTGCTGGGGCATTGTAATGGATGAATGAAGTGCTTGTATTTACAGTATAAAGCTTTTGACTGGACTTAACTGTCCGGGGGTCCTTTACCTTTTTACCTTATAAAGCCACTGCAGAGCTTCTGTGCTTGAGTGGCTCAGGTATAAAGAATTTAAAAATAAAGCAATAGTTTAGTAAACTTCTTTTGTTAAAGGATGTCTCATCTCAACTGTCACCCTACATGAGATGCTGGTTGGTTGAAACTTGAGAACTATGTCTGCAAGCTCCCTACTGGCTCCCCAGATCGCCTGATCTGCCTGGGTTAACAATCTCAAATTCTTGACATTATCAGGCTCAGATTTTGGAACTGTCTTTCCATACTGGTGTCATGTGTTGATGGTAGTTCATCCCTATCACCAGTCTAGCCACAGCATTCCTTGCCAGCTGAGCCTTCCTGTCTAGACACAGGGGCAGCCCCAAATAGAGGGCATTGCAGTAATCCAGTCCTGACATTACCAGTGCATGGACTACTGTGGTCACGTTGTCCATATCTAGGAAAAGCTGCAGTTGGCATACCAGTTGAAACTGATAAAAAACACTCAAAGCCAACCAGACCACCTGTGCCTCAAGTTGAAGAGGGTTCCAGGAGTCCTTCCAAATGACGTACCTGCTTATTCAAAGAAAGTTAATTGGTGATCAGGGCAAGCAGCTTGTTCATCTTCCAGATCAAGAAATGACCAACCCACAAAGCCTCTGTCTTCCTAGGATTCAGGTGAGGTTTATTGGCCCACATCCAGACATTGGGTCACTGAAGGTAGCTTGCCCCAGAACTCCCAATGACCATTCAAGATGGCTTGTTATAGATGTTGAGTAGCACTAATAGCGCCCTGCAGGATCCCATAACATACTTGCCATGAGCCTGAAGAGGACTCTCCTAATGATCCCTGGTTGTGATCCTGCAAGTAGGAATGGAATTACTGTAGCACAGTGTCCCTGGTGCCCTTCCCACAGAGCCAGATACTATGGTCAGTGATATTGAAAGCCACAGAGAAGTCTCTGTCCTGGTAAAGGTCATCCATCAGAGAGGCCTGAACCCATATAGAAATTCCCATTTGACCTCCGTCTGAGATGTAATCAAAGCACATTGGATACTTGCCATTCTGCCGAGTGCCGTTTTCAATACTAGCCCAAGATATTTTGGCACCTCAGATTTAAAACTTGGATGTCTAAAGCTGGAGGAGTTTAAGCCCCTTGAGCTGCCAGCTGAAGGGGCCACCCCCTTGCAGTAGAAGCAGCCTTGACCAGTTCAAAAAAGTATTGCTAGATGAAAGAGAGAGAGAGAGAGAGAGAGAGAGAGAGAGAGAGAGAGAAAGGAAAGAGTGAGGGCCTTTTTCAAGGTAATCCTTGTGGACCTTCCACAACTTGCTTGAACTTGTGTGATTTTTTTCCCCTTTAGCGGTTCATTGCTCTGTCCCAGCTTCTGCCAACCAAGCAGTTTGAAAGCATAGCAGTCCAAGTAGATAAATAGTTACTGCTGTGGCGGGAAGGTAAACAGGGTTTCCATGTGCTCTGGCACTCGTCACGGTCCTCCATGCGCCAGAAGCGGTTTAGTCATGCTGGCCACATGACCTGGAGAGCTGTCTGCGGACTAACACCAGCTCCCTCGGCCTGAAAGCGAGATGAGCGCCACAACCCCATAGTCGCCTTTGACTGGACTTAACCATCCAGGGGTCCTTTACCTTTACCTTTTTACTTTTACTATTTCACAGAGAACGAAAAGCAAAGACGTGATGGATTATAGATAATACCAAATCTCTATGAAGGCACATGGCTTCTCATCTTGAGTAGCAATGTGTAATGTCCTGTTGAGTGAGAAGACATCAAACAGCTTCTCTGTTTTCTACATTTCCATTTCCACCAAACCTGTTTAAACACAGTGCTTGTGTTACAAAAGCTCCATTAAAATGGAGCACAAGTAGGATTGGTGTTTGTTTTTAAACATCTGCCCTATGAACATCACCTTTTTGAATGCCTGCAGAATGTGACAGCCCTTTAGATATTTGAAGATGGCTATCATATCTCCTCTCATTTCTCCCTTATCCAGGCTAAACATACTAATTCCCTCATCCATTCTTCATAATGCTTTGTTTCCAGATCCCTGATCATCTTGGTTGTCCTTCTTTTGCACATGTTCCAGCTTCTCAATATCCCTCTTAAATTGTGTCCGGAACTGGACACAGTACTCCAGGTGTAGTCTCATCAAGGCAGAATAGAGCAGTACTATCATTTCCTTTGACCTGCACGCTATACTTCTGTTGATGCAGCTTAGAATAGCATTAACTTTTTTGCTGCTGCACCACGCTGTTGACTCATGTTAAGCTTGTGGTCTACTAAGACCCCTAGATCCTTTTCACATGTACTGATGGTAAGCCAAGTGTCCCCCACCTTATATTTATGCAGCTGGTTACTGCTGCCTAAGTGTCGAACCTTACATTTGTCCCAATTGAAATTCATTTTGTTAGTTTGGGCCCAGTTCTCCAATCAGTTAAGGTCATATTGAACCCCAATTCTGTCTTCTGTGGACTCAGCTACCCCTCCCAGTTTGGTGTCATCTGCAATTTGAATGAGAATCCCTCAATTTCTTCATCGAAGTTGTTTATAAAGATGTTGAACTACAACGAGCCCAGGACAGAACCACATGGCTCCCCACACATCACAAGGAACCATTAGTGAGTACGTTGGAGAGCTTCTGCTACTCAGTGTTGAGTGACAATACTGACCTAGGTGGACCTATGATCTCACAGCTTTAATTCAGTGTATTACTTTCTGTTGCCTGCCCCAATTCTTCAGAAAGAGGCATGCTATACATCTGAATCAATAAGCATTAACATGATAGAGAGAGAGGCATGGGCGTAGCCAGGATTTTTGTTGGGGGGGGTGCAGGACTTTTGTTAGGGGGATAAGAACCAACATGATAGGTCAGTAAGTTAAGCATTTCTATTTTTTTACTTGATGGGGCAGCTGCCCCCCCTGCCCCCCCTTGGCTACGCCCATGGAGAGAGGGAATATAAGCCAAATTCATCACAGTGCCCAAGAACTCAGGCAGCTGTTTCACTAAGCAGCTGGCTTGCAAATCAGCCAGGATGTTCAGCTTGCACAACAAATGCATTCCAGATCTTTTGGTTGCCATGTGATCTGAACTGACTAGTGAGCTTGCTCATGTGGTGAAATGGTTATGTGACACACACGCACACCCTTCAGGATTTTGTTCAACCCCCTCAGACTCTTCCTGTGTTAATTTGGCTGTTTCAGCTGGCCCTTGGCCAGCTTGTGCTGCAGACATGGACCTCATCTGAGCGTGTGGTGTTTCTAAGCAACCTGTATTTATCTTACTCTCCTTACCTGGCTGTATCCACGGCAGCGCTCCTCAGACAAAGACTAATTTAATTGTGTTTTCTCTCTCTCCTTACCAAGAGATGTGTAGGTGGGTTTGTTTGTTTGCTTGTTTTGCTTTTCTGTCCCTACAGGGAGGAGATTTCATCAATAGGAGACAGCAAGTTCCATTTGCAATAAATCCAAGAAGCTAACTTTTCTTTCCACAGTCTTCTTTCATGTGGGCGAGCTGTTTCTAAATAACACTACTTTCCCCTCCTTTCTGTTTTGTGTTCCTCCTTAGTGGTGTTATGGATGCCAGTTTGATTTCTATGAGAAAGGTTTCTCTTGTCTCAATATATATATATATTGTTTCTCTTCTTGACTTTAGTATTAATTAATATGCAACCCCCAGTGTTGCCTAACCAACCAGATCTCTTGCTGTAGTAACTCAGTGTTTTCTCCTGTTTAATAATAATCTTGTGTTTGCAGGTTGGTGGGTGTTGTTTTTTTTTTTTTACTGTCTCCCCCAGTGTTTCAGTGGAGTGGCTAATTTAATTTTGTTTAGACTTTAATTTAATCTATGAATGTTGTTGATTCTTTTTGCCCATTGTTTACATCAGTT